CAGGCCCCTCCCCTCCATCCAAGAACACTGCAACTTTACCATCATCTAAAGTATTTGTTTAATAACAACAGAAAAAAAAAAAACAACCCCACAGAACTATTGTAAAACAATATTCTCAGTCGGTGATCATTGTAATATACAATACAAAGCAATAATTTCCTCAGAAATCTGAGAAGCACCAAACGTGACCATTTTTTAAAATGTCTGCTTTTCAAAAAATAGAAACACACGGGGGGGAAACTCCCCCAAGTCTCTGGTGGCTGATAGGTGTGGAGGGAAGGTCGGCCTGTCCCGTCAGTCCCCCAGCCCGGGGCTGGATCCACAGGCGCCCGAAGGCCGCTGGTCTGTCCTGTTCCTCCCCAGCTGCGGCAGGCGCTCGGGAGGGCCAGAGAGCACTCGTTCCTCTCGCCCCTGGAGGGCCGGGGTCGGCGGGGTCTGGAGCACGCGCTTCAGCGACACAAGATGCGGTCGTCCGCCGGGACACACGCCGCCTGTGAAACGAAGAGAGAAGAGGTGAGACGGGCGGGCGGGGCTGGAGGGGACGAGGCTGCAAGCCGCCCCTTCCCCAGGAGACACGAGAAGGAGCGCTTCTCCCATGTCCTTGGGAACCCCGACACGGCCAGGCACCCGAAAGGATAGGGTCGGCGGAGGGTCCAGTCCCCCCTCCCTCGCCGGGACTCAGTTTCCCCATCTGCAGGAAGAGAACGATCTGGGGTTCCAACTCGGACCTCACCTCGGCAGCCAGGGCGCTGATCTCGCCGTTGAGGGTGCTGAGCGGAGCCCGAGCGGGCAGCCCCCGGGCCCCGGGGGTCCCGACTTGAGATTCCGAGTTCAGTTCTAGCTGCAGGTCCCAGATGTAGTCGATGACGTGCTGGAGGATCTCCACCCTGCTCACCTTGCGGTTCTGGGGCAGGGTGGGCACCAGCTCCTTGAGGCGCGAGTAGCAGCCGTTCATGTCGTACAGCAGCACGTTGACCTGCTGCTCGTCCAGCAGGGCGAGCA